GGACGGACCCACCAGGAGTGGACACTATTACTGCTCCTGATGCTGTAACCATGGATATTGGTAGTCTTAGCCCAGAGCATCTTTCCTGCCTTTCCATTGGCTGAAAAACAGATGTGTGAGCAGGCTTCTCCATTCGCTAATGTAAGTTGTTTGTGTTGAGCAGTTTGTGGAAGAAATTCAGTCACATGTTCACCTCTGTTCTTCTTGCCTTATGACCATCTTAGGCACCAGAATTAAAATTTGCCCACATTTCCTTTTCTGAGAATGGAAAGCCTATCTCATGTTCAGAAATGATCTCATGTTTCATCTTTGACATTTCAGAATCATTTTCAAGGATTTCTGTTAAATTCCAGAACCAAAAGGGAAAAGGGAGAACAACCAACTCATTATGTCCTTTCCTTTTTCCCGTCCCTTTATCTGAGGGTGGTCTGTTTTCTGAAAATGCAGGGAGAAACAATAATTATTTGTTTGAAGGCTGTCACCAGGCTCTAAGTGACCAAACATGATTTCTAATCCTGGAGAATAATGATCTGTCCACCTGTAGATTTGTACCGACATCCTCGTAGAAAGACTGGCAGGTAGGGGACTTTTCTGAGAGTGTAGTTTGTCTTATGTTACCCCAATAATTCAAAGCTATTCAGAGTATTTTCCTGAGTCGAAGGCTTAAAATGAAAATGCCACAACTGTCAGAGAGGACGGGAAGCAAAATCAATACCAATTGGCACCGCTGGGGAGGCGTGGAGGACGTTGATTTAGCACTCTGTGTCCACAGAGGATGACACTTTCAGAGGACTTGCCGATATAGACCACTGTGCAGTGCAGGAGTATTTACTGACCCTGCCCCTGGGGCGGGGGGGAACCCTGTGGTTTTGTTTGTTGGGTGCATCGCCTAGCAAATCATATTAACACCAGGATCTAAGACCTTAAGGCAGGACTTAAATCGCCCTTCAGGGCCAAGTTTCTCCTAATTGTTGTTTGTTTTCATTCATTTCTTTGGTGGGTGTAAGTGTGGCAAAGTGTAAAGCTACTGAATGCCTGGATAATTTTTATTGCGTCTGCAAGGCTGTGTTGAGATATTCTGACACCGCATGAGTCAGGATTTGTCCGTGCATAGATTTATACTGACTTCTTTATAGAAGACTGACAAGTAGGGGCCTTTTAAAAAGATTAATCTGGACTTCCCTGGTGGCGCAGTGGTTGAGAGTCCGCCTGCCGATGCAGGGGATGCAGGTTCGTGCCCCGGTCCAGGAAGATCCCACATGCCGCGGAGCGGCTGGGCCCGTGAGCCATGGCCGCTGAGCCTGCGCATCCGGAGCCTGTGCTCCGCAACGGGAGAGGCCGCAACAGTGAGAGGCCCGCGTACCGCAAAAAAAAAAAAAAAAAAAGATTAATCTGTCTTATGTTGCACCCAATAATTCAGAGTATTAAACTGAGGTCTCATTGATTCAGTCCCAACACACTTATCTAAATTTCCTTTTCATTGTCAAGTATATGATTAACATAAGGAACATTTTTCCTCCCCCTCCCCCCAAAGTAGTTCAAATAACAAATAGCAAGAAGTTTAAATGCATGGATGGTTTCTCCTGTTTTCATATGTAGCTCTTAACGTGAGCTGTTTATTGGTCATCCGATTACTTAAGGGTCAGGAATTCATTCTTTTCATAATGTTCTACAAAACAGACTCATTAACTTTGCTATTATTTCTAAATTGATACGCCCAGTCCATGAAAATCTGATGAAATCTGGTGAAAGGGCACATTGAGCTCGCAGGATGCTCCAGTGTCTTTGTTGAGGGGTTGCTGCATTTGGCTTGTCTCTTCTTCCTCTGCCCAGCCAAGATGGCCTATTGACCACAGATACTCAGACACCTTTCATTTTCGGCAGAGTTCTGGTGAGAAGGATGCTCTAGCCGAACCAGGATTATCTGCCAAGAGTTCTGCGCGTAAGAGTGATTCCAGACTTCCAGCAATTGACCAAACATCAGTCAAGCACAAACATAAAGGTACCATGACTCCAAAGAAATCAGAGAACGCGGGCCCCAGCAAACCCTCTCCAGGTGAGTGGCGGGTTTATTGAAATTCACAAGGTCTAAAATCCCGGCATCAGAGGGAAGGACAGCAATCAAATTCGTGGTCCCGATTACACCTAGTGTTTTCCAAGCGGCCAATTCAGGTTTTGCAGGGTCTGATGATCTTATGCAAATGATAAAATCCATTTCGGAGTAGACCCTCAGGTCAAGGAGGTGTGAATTATGCAGAGTAACTGTCTCCACTGCCCACATTTTCTGCCCAGTCATCGGCTTTCTGTGGCACTGGCCCAGAATGGCTGCCTTTTCATCTTCTTCACCCTTCTGGGAGGGATAAAGGCATTTGGCCCCAGGTATCAAATTTTATGACTCAGTCCAGAGCATGAACGGATGCTTTCAAAAGCATCTGAATGGCATAATTTACTGCTGAGAAAGTCCTCCAGTTCTGGGGTTGTCCTCTCTGGGAAAAAAAAGGGGGGCTTGGTAAATCTTCCCCTTTGTGCAATTTGGTAAATAATTCACTCTTTAGCTGCCTTTGAAGCAAAGACCGGTCCTCTGCTTAAGGCAGGAGAAACTTAATAGTATCCAGAAAGGGGATAAATGCAACTGAAAGTTTAGAGTCCCTCAGGCTCATCCCCATTAAAGCCAACATCTGTAGGACAAACTTGATTCCCCTGGGAACTGACGTGGAAGTTGGGATAACGAGGCAGAAAGGTCTGCCTTCTGCTTGCGGTGGAATGGAAGCGATCCAGATGAACTGCGGAAGAATTCGTAAACAGCATGCAATTTGCTTAAATCCAAATCACGATGACTTTCTAATCCTAAACAGCTCCTGTCGTGCAACCACCCGTCTGGTTAAGTCTTAATGCATTTTTAGACAATGGCAGCTCTCACTTAGATTAACCACCCACATTTTATAGCTTTAATGAAGTTTAAAGAAAAATTGACTTCCGAAATGATGTCCGTTCAGACAAAGCCCCAACTCTTTTTCCTTATTTAATCAGGGGAAAGTATCATCGTAGTTAACAACTTCTCATTTTGAAGCCTTTTAGTAGGAATTAGGACTTTAATTCAGCTGTTTAAGAATGAAA